AAGGCAAGTGGAATCACAGATGTGCTGCTGACAGGGCATCTTCAGTCCAGCCTGCTTCTCACAGCAGGGCCATCCCCAACAATAGGTCTGGACACCATGCTTTTGCCAATGTGAAAGCAATTGTTCCTTGGCTGTGATTGAAACAGCCTGGCTACAGGAAGAAAAGAAAGAAGAAAGAAGAAAACAAAAAGGAAAAGATCTTGAAAGAGGGGTACAGTGGGGAGTATTAGTGGTGGTGGTGGTGGTACTGGTGGTAGTAGTAGTAGTAGTAGTAGTAGTAGTAGTAAGGTTAAAGTGGAACTTTGGTGATTGGAAGTGGTTCTGCCTAGATTTCTCCTTACAAGGAAGTATGCCAAAGAGACCAAGCGGGCTTTTAGCTCAAAATAGTAGCTTTTGAGCAGGGACCAGGGAGAAGCTGGGTTTTTTGGGGGGAGCAGAAACTAGAGCAGGTAACTTTTTAAAACTTAAGAGATAAGGCAGAATGGACAGGATGCAGTGGAGTCAAGTTTCTGCAGTTTCTTCCTCCAGGCATTTATTCCAGCATATGTTATTCCCTCTTTCTCCAGGAGGATGCACTTGGTTAAATCACTCTCTTCTATTAAAGGAACATGATGCAGCAAACTAAATAATGACAGTACTATCCATCATATGTTAGTGAAGCCCAGAGTTCCTGAAGTAGGATCACAGAGAGTGTGCATAAGGGAAACTTACCCAGGCAGAAAGTACTATAATAGGTGTTTCAGCTAGTTAATATTTTTCCTACCATCCTTCTGGGCTCTTTTTCCACAAAACCTCCCAAGAAATCTAGTTTTGTTGCCATTTTGTACCACATGTGGTTCTGGGATATATTTTATTCCATACTATACCACCATCTGACTTGAGCCGAAATTATTGAGGGAGCTTCCTGCAAAGCAGGCACACAACATGAACACATTGCAGCTGCAAGTAAGGCTACTTGTTTTAAACATGTGATACAAATTCCCTGGGGAGTTTTAAAGTACTAGTTGCTTGTGGTGTTTATTTTATTTAAGATTGCAGAGTATCAAGCAGAACTTGGACATGCTAGCTGCTGCTTTATGCTCCTCTGAAGAGCTGCAGCCTCACAGAGCTCTGGGAAGGTAAATTACAATTTTGTTTCACTAGTAGGTCATGAAGTCCTTGTGAGAAACTTGATCGAAAGAGAGGTGTAGATGAAGGTGAAAAGTGGACAATGGGTCTTGAGGCTCTGGGGGTTGAAAGTAAATAAATCTCTGTCTCAGAAAGGCATGAGGTGCAAGAAGGTTTTCTGTAGCCCCAAAGTATAATTGCTTTCAACTTTCAACCTGTATCTGTCCTGTTTCCCGAGTCTCTTTGCTCAGGGCTAAAGGTGTTTGAACACAGTGGTCCCAAAAAGGGGCAATGACAGCTGACAGAATGGCTACTCCAGCCATTGTCATAATTTGGTTTTTTCATGATATGTTGCTTCCACTTCTAGCTCCAATTACTGCAATATTTTTATATCTATACAGTTTATACACAGATTTGGGTTTTCTTCTACAGCATTTTCTTTCTTTTGAAGAAACAAAAGGTATCTTCTGCCTTAAAGTTTCTTGGGATTTTTTTTTAACATTTTGATGACAAGTCTGCTTTTACTTGCTTAAAAAGATAGCACCAATGTTAGTTTTGTTTGGTTTTGGGGGGGGTTACAGTGTTGACAACCTCCACCCTAACTCCAGCCAGGGTGACCCAATCCTGTAGAGGCAGGCCTTCCTATGCTGGTGTGTAAATACCTATGGAAGCAATGCGGTCTTTGCTGATGTGTCCACTGCCCCCTGTGAGAGGTGCAGCATGGGAGTACTGGACACTGACAACTAATTCCACGAAGGATCTCACCTGAGCCTCTCTACAGGTCTCTAATGAGTTGGCTGTACTCACAGGAGCATCCTTGGGGCTGCTTTTCTCCAGTACAGCCCCTGCCCCTTTTGCCTTCCTGGCACTTACAGCCAAGTCTGACCAGTACAGGACACAGTAGGCAGGAACTGCTTGGTCTTCAGACTGCAGCATACCTCACCCCCAGGCTCATGTGAACTTAATCTTCCTCTGCCAGCCCCATGCAGTCCCCAGGGGAGGCTGCAGGAAGAGGGCAGAGCGAGTTGGCTATTCTGACGGGCTGCAGGAAGCCTGTAGGGATATCTCACCAAGCAGAGTTGCTCTAGAGACAGGCAGTGATAGTGTCCTGCAGAAAGCGTTTGGACTGAGCTGCTCCAGGTGCCTTAAGACTGGCTACTGTGCAAGAGGAACAACCTTTCTTGCAACAGAAGTGTTGTCTTGGCCCCAGCTGTGCACAGGATGGCACAGGATGGCATTCTGCCTATCCCTGCCTGTGTCAGGGGGCTTTTCTAGGATCCACAGCTGTGATGGGAGCAGTTGGCTGACCTTCAGCCAGGACCATTCAACTTTACAGCAGGTTTTCTGCAGTACCAGTTTTCCAGTGACCCCCTACAGACCTACTGTAGAGGCCTCTGCTGGGTTTACTGGGGTCACAGAAGGCTTGTTAAGGCAGCCAGACCACTCCTTTGGGAGGGAGAGGACATGGACCCACACCCCAGCATACCAGGCACATGCCTTAACATCAAAATCCCTCTGTCCTGCTAAGATTTCAGCTTCATGCTTTCCATAGGCTTTCCAGAGAAATACACATCTAAATGTGAGAGACAGTGGGTTATGCAGCCTTGAGGAGAAATGTGTATAGCAGTAAGCTGATTTCAGCTGTAGTGGTAATTACAGACTAGTACAGAAATTTGAGCCTCTTTTGTTCTAAAGACAAAACGTGAAGTTAGCTAAGCCAGCAGAAACAGCTGATGGTGCAAGGTAGGTATTTGTGTGAGCTACCCGGCCCCACTCTTAGCAGTGCCATAATGCCTCTATGGCATGCTGCCAGGGTACAACAAACCGTATAGTGGAGGAGCAACCTGCTCCACTACATATTAGGAATTCAGAATTAGCTTCACACACCTATGTCTGATGCATTAGTAGAGAGAAAAAATATCCCCTTCCAAAGCTCTATATGCTTGGATAAAGATAAGAGCGTCTTAGCTGGTGCAAGGCAGATTCTCTGACAAGGGCAATGGCAGATTTTGGAGAGATTTGCTAGCAGTATTTCCTCACTACTTTAACCTGTCCTTCAAAATAGAGCTAACTGTAGTTTAACCTACAGCTAATTTCACACTGTCATTTTAAGGATCTGAGATACCACTTCACATCATCAGTTTGAGCACAACTTAATGCACATCTGGCAAATATGGAGACCTTTGGTTTGTGACCTTTGCTACATGGCAGATCTGATGCACACTTGCATCTATAAAATACTTTTTAAAGTTTAACATAGTGAGAAAAGATTAATCTTTTCTTAAATCACCCTTTATTAAAAAAGTAAGTATTTGTATATATATAAAATTATAAAGTACCAAGTGCTTCTTGCTTCCCAGTACAGTAGGACTCAGGAGTGGCACATAAATTTGGTGTTAATCTGTTTGGTGTATCAGGTCCAGGGCTGCAGAACTGACCAGCTAGTTTTGCAAAAGTCAGCTAATCTCATTCCTCTGACAGGTCCAAACTGATCTTGTTTCACCTCAGTTTCAGACTTCCTTCCTGCTCCTCTTGACAGTTCTTACTGGTGACAGCAAGGCTGGAGCTATAGGAACTAGCAGGCTCGCTAGAAGGATGCAGCTAGGTGTTTTACAAAGGGAGAGATTTCCAGTTGCTGATAGGGAAGAGAATTCAGGCACTGAGATAGCTCCTCTGTACAATGTTCCTTGGGGAAAGTGCATCCTTTGCTTTGTGACTATCCTGTAGCTGGACTGGACAAAGCCGGTCACAGGTCCAATTTGCATTAAGTTCCCTTAATCAGCAAGTACTCGGATCTCCTTGCAAGATGCATGGTATGAAGCATCACCAAGTCCCATCTATCTCTTTTTTTTTTTTTTTTTCCAGACAGAACTGGAAGGTACTTGTTGATGTTGTTTCTTACTTGGTCTTCCCCAAAAAGCCCCTATCATCTGCAGAAACTTATGACAGGTCCCTGCATTCTCTTAAGTGGTCACCAGTTCTCCTGCCAGCTTCTACCACACCAGGCACTGCCATGTCATTCCCCAAAAAGTGAGCTCTTAGTGTTCCTGTATGGCAGAGCATGACTTGGCCTGGGGAGGGTACACTACCCTACTCTTACACCAGCAGGTTCGTTTTCTTGTGGAAAGCTTAAACTACTGAAATTGCAGGAACGGCAGAGAAAAAACAGAAGCCCAAGTAAAACAAGCTTATCCTGAATGTCTCAGCATCTGGCAGGGGACCAGAAGGGTGAGGAATGCTGCTGTATTTAACTACTGCTGCTTATTGATATTTTCTTTTACAGGCAGCACTGCAGGCAGGTCTTTTCTTTTCCTGTTTGTAGGAGAGGACAAAGTGGCTCATTGTAACAGACTTGTATTACAGATCAGATACCTGCACTTCCCTGCTGCAATGGAAGGATGCTCTACCTCCTACTGCCCTTTAGCTAAGAGGCACAATTAGCTCCAGCCTTCAAGCGGAAGAGTTGTTATGCTGTACAAGAACCACAGTCCTTAAACAGAAGTTTTCCACTAGGTTTGTGATACGCACTGCTTCCACCCCTCTGAAAGCTTCACCCCTCATCCAAGTACATGGCTGAAATATGATGCTCCTCTCCTCTGCAACATTTCTTTAGCTTCAATCAAGTCAGCTAAAAATCCCTGTTACCTGCATAGCTGTCCAGTCCAACTTTAACGTTTCTGGCAACACAGCCTTTCTTACAGCTCGGACTCACAAATAAATAAAAGATTGAGGGAAGCACAGCAAAGGTGCACCAGTGACTCTCCTCCAGCCCTTGCTTGTGCAACAGGACCCAGATATCCCAGCGGGCCAGCTGAGCATTTGCAGTCATGGTCCCTGCCAACAGGCCTGAGTCCTTCCCTTATTGGGCCCTTGGCATCCCCTTTTTGGCCTGATTAGGCTTCAGGAACATCTGCTCTTGCTGTATCTTCTGCCTTGACCAAATCACCACTGTTTGTCTCAGCATGGAGCCGCTTGTAGTCAGTGTGGAAGAAGATGACGTAGAAACAAGCCATAGCACTGCAGAGGCCAGCCAGCACCAGTACCGGAGCTGCAAGGAAGTTACACTTTTAGATGGTTAATTCACAACTTCCCATGGGTGCAGAAGTCTAGAGGTCAGCTCCCCAGTAACTGCATAGCCTAGGTAATCTCCTCCATGGGCTACCCCTGAAGACAGTGTGCAGCTCACAGTGGGGCAATGCCAGTTTGGTAACAGCCAAACCTTGTATCACGTAACACTGGCATAGGAAGAGGATTTGCGTGAAACGTGGAAGGTTTCCAGGACTCTAGTCCTGCATGACCCCTCAAGTTGGAGGTCTTACACTGGTGCACATAGTGTGTTTGTGGGAGTCTGTGTAGCTGTGTATGTGTACACGTTTGTGTGTTGGGGGGTGGTGAAGAAAGTTACAAGAAAGACTGAATCAAAACACTTGAGCTTCGTAAGAGAACACGTCAACACAGGTAGTGCTCCTTGTTATACCATCTGAGAGCAAAGTGTAGGAAAGGTTCATTAAGGATAAAATTTAACCAAAGCAAAATTTGTGTTGAAAGAACCTTTTCTGAATTAAAAAAAAAAGTAAAGCTAAAAGGCTATGCAACAAAGCCTGGAAGTAGTCACATTCTCATTCCAGCAGTGTCTCAAATAAACACCTCCATGCCTCTCTCCACAGATGTCCCTGCATGTATCAGACCACAAAATGAGTAGGAATGGGTACCTAATTACGAGATCCAGCTCTGATCTGATGAGATGGAGAGTTACAGGCTTTCAGAGATGAAGCAGTCAAATTGCTTTTTGAGGGGAGTTACTGGGAAGCCTTGTTCCCTGCCAGCTAGTGGGGCTTGTTCTGGGGAGTTTCTGTTCAGCCAAGCAGGATATATTTAAAAGGTGTTTGCCAGCCTTTGTGTAGTGGTGTGTCCCTGGGACTTGGTGTCAGTATTACATAAATGAACCAGCTGAGAGATCAAGACTAGGGTTTAGCCTGCAGTGAAAATACATTTGTGCTCCTGTTCATCTCAGTTACTGTCTGTTCTCCTGACCAGCTAGGAAAGGAAGGGCAATGTGGAATAAGTCAGAACAAAGCTGTACTGGCATGTTACAAACCCAGGCAGCTGTGTGTGCAGAAGCAAGGGAAGTAGCTTTCAGTCAATGCATTTGTAGTCTTGGCCTCCCACACTGTAAAGCAGTGTCTTATCCCCAGAACAGCTGCTTTCTAGCTTGGTGAAGCTCAGGTCTCTGCAGGGTGGCCATAAGAGAAATTTTAACCCAGAGCCAGCAGCAGCATTCATGGCACCTTAGAGGTCTTCCTATTTCAATCTTGCAGGCCTGGTTTGGCAGGAGCAGCAAGGAATGCACCGTCAGGTTGGGAAAGGTGGCTAAGAGATACACTACAATAGGAATCAGTTTTGCAGGCTGCCTCACAGTGAAACCTGCAGGAGAGTGGAGAGTACGTGGGGTGCAAACGTGTCCAACATCATTTCTCAAGGACATACTTACTTGTCCAGTCCAGGGCTCCATCCTGATCAAGGGCACAGGTGGAGTATGGATCCTCAGAAACACGCACGGTGAGGGCTTGTAGCAGAATCATTAAAATCACACCTTCAACCTGGCTGTGGAGAGAAGCCAACATTCAGTCATAGTGCCTACCCAGTTCATCAGTGCTGCAGACAAGCCCAGCTTTCCCAGCAGGAAGACAGTGAGGCCCCTTTCTGGAGCAGGGTCCTTCCAGCAGAGAAAGCTACTGCCAGCTTCCTCTGACCCAGGCACTTCATTAACTGGCCTTGGCTCACAGGGTGTCCAGGTCAGCCTTTCAGCACACACCTAGGCACAGGGCCAGCATGGCAGGACCACTATATACACCCTCTGGAGGCAGGCAGGTGTTGAACTACAGCTGTCAATGAGCTGAGGCTTAGTCACTGGGCAGAGACTTGGAAACACCTCTCACTGCAGGGTTGAGGATGGGAAGAAGTCAGGCTATGACTTCAGCCTCCTCCTCATTCATAGCTGGCTGGCAGCAGCAACAAAGTCCACAACCAGTGGGAGACAACAGCCTTCAAAGGCAGTGTCTAATGCCCCTCTTTGACTGATGTTTCTTGCTGCTTCAGCTCCACCTGCCACAGACGCAAGGCACCAGGCCATGCATATCACTGCTTAGGGCTCCAGCAAGTGATTCATGCTGCAGTCCAGTGCCAGCCCTAGGCATGTAAACCAATCACAGGAAGGACTGTCACTGCCCCATCTGTTGTGACTAGCTGCCCTGTGAGTGATGAGCCTCATCTCCCTCAGCAGAGCACTTGATACCTGACAAATCCCTGAACTGCCATGGGAATGGGTGCCCTTCAGGTATACAGCCCCCATCTGCTTCAAAGGTAGGTGATGCTGAGCATGGTTAAATCCCGCTTTGTTCCAAGCAAGGGATTTGTTCCTTCTTGCTTTTCTTGCACCAATTCCACATACTCCTCCTTACTTTAAAACCTTTAGCTCTTCAGCTCTATGGCTCAGCCAGCCAGCTCCCCCCTAACCATG